GAAGGTTCTGGGTTCGAGCCCAGGCCAGCCCGGTACCATTCTGTGCGGGGTTTACATTTTCTCCCTGTGCCTGCGTGGGTTCTCTCCAGGTACTCTGGCTTCCTCCCACAGTCCAGGTCAATGCTAAATTGCCCCTAGACAATTTATTGTGGGTCTGTATAGTTGTCTGTCTAACATGTCAGCCCTGTGACAGACTGGCGACTTGTCTAGGGTGGACCCTGCCTCTCAACCATTGTCAGCTGGGATTGGCTCCAGCCCCAAGCAACCCTCTTCAGGATAAGCAGTATAAATAATGGATGGATGGATGGATGTAAAAATATGAATGTACATATCTGAATGCAACATGAATGAAAACCTACCTTCTGTACACTACAGTATAAGGTCAAATGACTTAATTAGTAGACAATGTGAAATCTAAGTTCTTTCAGCAACAAATATTAACAGAATTAAACAAGTGGGTGAGAAAATAGGATCATAAATGGTAAAATAAAAAGCATCTGTATAATTTGCCTCTCATTCATACACAGAAGTAACAGTGGAGTTGCCATGCAAGGCACTGCCCTGACTACTGGGAGCAGCTGGTGTTCAATGTCTTGGTCAAGATCAGGGACAGGTGAAGCCAGGAACAGCAAACCCTATGAATACTAGACCTGTTCACCACCTGATCCTCAGCTGAAATAAGCAAAATCCATGCCATGACAGAACAAGGTATATGAAATATATAAAATTAATGAGCGACAGAAAATATGTGAGAATATAAATAAGAAAGAGTCAACTGCACATGATCTCTGCTCTGTCTGCTGACGCGGTGTGCAGCATGAAAAGCTAGCGGAGTGGTGTAAACAGGGCAGAGACCAGGTGACTATTACATCAGAGACTGTAAACAATGATGGCTGTTCTTAGATTCATTTTCAAAATAAGGTGTACCCCACATACTGTACTATGTGAGGAAGGAACATGTTATCCAGTGCAGCCGTCTGCTCATTGGTGTGTTATTCATTGTTTTTGGAAAACAGAGGAGTTCTGTCTCTGACCAATGAGCTAAATCAGGGTCTGGATTCACAGACATCACAGTGAGTACATTAAACTTATTCTTGGTTTTAATCTGTATGGGATTTGTGGAGAAAAACCAAACAGAACATCACCAGCCTTATCCTGTAAAGCAGGACCCATTCAAGCCTAGTATTTACACATACACCAAAAGTACTACTAAAATAATAATAATACAGAACTTGTGAGTCGTGTTTCTGTGATTCAAAGTGCCAAAGCTTTTCTTGGCTTTTAACTGCTATTTTAGAGCTTCAACTGTACCATGTTCTAAAGTCTAAAGTTATAGATACAAATAATAATAAATACAGTAAGTGTATAAGCTTGGGGCCAAGTAGGGACGTACACAACAAATAACTGAGTATATGTAAAGATTTCAATATGGAAAATAAAGTGATAATTCAAAATCAACCAAGAATTTCATCTGAGAGAAGAGATTGTTTCATAACTCATCTCCACTTTTCACCAACAAGAATATATTCATCAACTAAAAACATTCAATGCTCTATCCATTTTAAGATTCAGCTGTTTTTGCAGATACTTCTGAGACAAATGCTTCTGCAACAAGGATGTGAGAAATCAGCTTACATCCTTGAATCATTCTCCACTTGCAGCAGAGACGGAGACAGCAGAGTTGTCTTTAACTGCCTTTCTTACTGAGCTACCCTCCCCAGAGTTTGGGAAAATAGGAAAAGAGACAAGTTAATGAGGAGAAATGGGCATTGGTGCTTTTTATATTAGTTCTGTACACCCTGGAGCTTGATTGCTCATGTTAGTAATACCAGTTGCTGCTCATCTGTATCATTTCCTCCCACAACGGGTTTTCACACCAATGCCAAAGTCTTTACAGCTCTGATCCATCTGCCTCAAAATGTTTGTTAAACTGCCAAGACTTCTCACTGTTGTGCTTTGAGATTATTAGTATTGACTCTAGTGTTCCTTTGGCAAATTTAAACTAATCTCCCCAGCCAAATGCACATCATTTAGGGATCCTCTTGCTGTTTGCATAAGACCTTTACTTGTTGTTTGGTAAACAACCAAAAGGCCAGAAAAGCAGGCCTCTAGGCTGCAAAAGACAACAATTCAAATTCTGGACCAGCTGGTAAATGATGTAGAGGGAAAGTGAATAAGAAATGTTTCCCACACTCAACAATCACAGTTAATGTGACCTGGATTCATTTATGACTGCTAGAGGTGCCAAGTCTATGGAGGCAAGAACAAACTAAAAGCTAGATGCACAATACACATTTCACTCTCAGGTCTCTTCACTGGCTCCTAGTCTATCAAAGTTCTGCTGCTGGTTGATGAATGGCTCAGTCTGTCTATTACCACGAGTCCTGTTGACCTGCTAACTAGTGCCTGAGTGCAAACTGAACACAGAGAAGCAGCATTTAGCGTCTGTGCACCACAGAGCTGGAACTAACGTTCAGAGAACAAGAGACCCACTGCCACTCTGACCACCTTTAAATCCAAGTTTTAACAACTTCTATTTTCCTCACTGCCTTTTACTAAACCATAAATAATCATTGTGGATTACCTCACCCTGCTGTCCTGTATTTATGCCTCTGTTCTTAACTTGTAATTATTCTTTTACTTGGTGTTGTAATGTTTTTAACACACTGTGTAAAGCACGCTCATGTGCTATACAAATAAACTCAGTCTTGCCTTCAACTGCTTAAATACAAAAACATGTCAGAAAACTGAAACAGGTGAGATCAAGTGTGCAGGGCACAAAAACTGAAACACACCAACCTTCTGAAAATAGCTGCTAGTAGGCTGCCTACACGAAATCACTGCACTGATTTGAGCCAATCTTACAGCCACGCTAGGTCCTTGACACTAAGCATTGGAGTGTTGGTCAATCAACCAATGAATGCATTGACACGCTTTTATGATTTATCAAGAACAGACTTTTTAAGCTTTATTTCTAAACAAATCTTCCACCTAGAACCCACAGGGAGTCACACAGCTGAGCGCGTGATGCATGAAAACAAATCACTATTGTCTACAAACAAAAACGTCTCTTACACATCAGTTTCTGTAAATTCAAAACAAACTAATGAAGGTGCTTCAAAAAAACAAAACAAAATTTAACTACAGTGTTTGAACTGCTAATAGAGGTGGGTCTTCTACCTGTTTTGTAATACTTTACCTGATAAATTGCTAGATTTATCTTTTAAAAATAAAACACAAATCACAAAGATGAACACCAAGAAGAGACTACCCCCTAAAGGTTGAAAGTGCAGTAGCAGAGCTCTTTGGCCTGATTTCAAGGCCACTGATCTCAGATGACTTGATTTGTTCAATCGCTGTACTGCGCTCAACGACCTAAAACCACAGAGGTGGATCTACGTTCAAAAGAAGCTTGAATGAATCAAGTATGCCATCTCACAGTGCAACATGTGGGGACCTCTAGGAACAGAGCCAATTGTTAACTTCAGTGAAGGACGCTGGAATAAATGAACATGTGATCCTGAAGGTTTCAAACGAAGGAGGCCAGTAGAACAGCTGCTCCTTTCACAATAATCTGTCCGTGCCCTCAAAGGTTTTACAACACCCCCATTAGTTTTTATTTTGACACTCAAGCAGTTTAACTCCAGTGAATAATAATCTTAGATGGTAAAAAGCTACAAAAATAAGTGACAGGATTTTTACAGGGAACCAGTAACAAGTTAATGTGCATATTTTTTGCAGTACTGAAGTAAAGGAAGCCTTGAAAACTGATGCAAACTATTTCCACAGGTGTCCTGAGCTTTGTTGATGACTTAGAACATCAAATTCTGTCCATAAAGCAGTGTTGGAAAAGACCTCTGATGATATATGTGGAAAAAGGCCATGAACAAAGGAAGTCAGAGCTTTTCAGGGTTTTATCCTATAGCAGGATAATGAAACACCTCCAGGGCAGAGCAGTCGGCTTCACGTGAGGGAACGGCAGTGTAGTGTCCAGACTTTCCAGGTGAAAGAGTGAAAGCAAAGCAGCCTACAAGTGCAACACATCTGTGCGAACATCTGCAGCAGTGCTGTCTGTCTGAACAGTTGACTTCAGTTGCAGAGAGAATGACACAGGTGTGTTCAGCTGCTGAATTAGACTAATAACAGCTGGAGAAACAGAGGTGCTCTAAACCTTCTGACTGTGAAATCACAGCAAACTCTGGTTACCATGTTTACCAGAGATCTCCACACCATTACACTCTAATCTGCCTTATAGACAGTTTATCCCAGGATGCTGTAAATCAAACTGAAGCTGCACTAACATTAGCTTTATGCCATTTGGAGGTGTTCTTTGTTTATGGGCAAACAGCAATGCACCACAGCGATCCAGAGGGCTGGAGTGGAAAATCCAAACTCAGTCTGAGTCTAGTTAGGTGAGCGGAGCGCCAGAGAGATGATTGAGATGCTCTGGGAAGAACAACCATCAACTGGGAGAGGAAAGAATTTGACTTCTGGAAAGGCAGGTAGCAGTTTCCTGGAAAAACTCTGGTATCGTCGCCAGCCAGTGCATATTTGAGTAATGGGAACACAAATGCACATGTTCTTCTACACATGGCTGTATATTACAAAGACAGAGACACACGTACTTGCACTTTGGGATGTGGACAAACAAAGAAAAATGCAGATACAACAGGACAGATGACACGCACACACACACACACACACACACACACACACACAGGAACTGCTGGACTGAATCACACTGTACTGTTTTTAAGACATGACTTCATGTCTGTTCATTTCTTACTCTACTAGTCAGGGAAAATTTTGTACTGTGCATTGGATAATGAAGACATGCACTATTTGCTATGCTTTCACAAACAGAGGTACTTTTTTGCACTCAAGTACATTTTTAGAGATGTACCACAACAGAATGGTCCCTAAATAGAGCAATGACTGCTTTTTGATCCACACAGATGAATTTAGATAGTAGGCATAAGCAAGCGAGCCACCATCACTACAGCAACAGCACATCACTTGGACTTAACTAATGTATGCAAAGAATTTAACTGTTTAAGTGCCTTTGGAAAAGAATCTGGAGGAGGTTCTATAGAAGGCACTATCCTCTATCCCAAGAAACTCATTTTACTTTCATTAAATCTTATTTCTAGAACTCATTCTGAGGCAACAAAGGACCAACCAGGGAGTGCTAAAGACAGGAAGAGGGGGCCCGTGGTAAGCTGTCACCCTGCTGATTTCTTGGAGGTTGGTGATCTGAATCTTAAGCTAAGCTTAAGTAATTCCTGCAGGGCTTACTTCGTGCAGCACCTACTGGTTGAAGAAAAATAATTAAACTACAGCATCTGTTCAACCTCCACAGTCTAGAAAAGCACAGTGTGAAGTACAGTAGCAAAGTAAACCCAACAGGAATGACTTCAAATCAAGTCTAACAAATATCTTGCGTTGTAATATAAAAATGCATCATTTCACAAAAATCCTTAAACATGAGACTATGGAAGTCTAATTTTAGTCATGAAATGTATGAGATTACCAAACTAGTAAAATCAGTGGCATGATTGCTTTAGAGGTTTCTGGCTGGTCCTTTCTTAACGGGCTGTTCAGGACGTAAACACGAGGATTTAATGGAGAATTATTTTTGTACATCTGGTTTCATGGAGCATAGGCTTGTGGCTTTTACTTTCTCTTTTCTCCCACAGTCTCAGTTTGCTGTTGGAAAAGGCACAGCCCAGAAAAGACATCTTGTTAGGCATCTTGGTGGGCCACATTTTGTGTAATACCTTAGCAGATTTTAACCTTTGCTCTAATGGTATCTAACATACAGTATATTTTCAACATATATGGAGCTCTACAAGATTTTATGGTCAGTTTTCTTGGAAAAAGTACTTAAAAATGAAATCGTGTGGAACCACAGCAGTAATGATTATGACTGTGAAGGGTCGATACACCTGAGAGTTACAACTCATCTATACCAGCATGTCACCAGCACAACAGAACGACTTTTCAGTCCCCCATCAGTGTCTGCATAGGATGTGTTCAGCCACAGAAGCTTTTGACCTCCCTCACACCTCAAACACACAATGTATTTAGACTAAGGTATAAGGACATAAGATTTGCCTGCATGCATCAAGCTTCAGCTAATATATGGCACTAATTAATACTGAAATGCATCTGTTCAGTGCGATGGACCACTGAAGAACACAGCTGATGGCATTACAGTGTAGACAAAGTGTGAGAGACCCAGCATAAAAGTTTTCAAAACATAGTGGGAGATGATGCCAGAAATATACCTGGCTGCATGTTTAGGTAGCTGTAAATCCCACCTTCATGAAGATGATCATGTTATGCTTTTGCTGAAAAAAATCTTGATCATGCTGTTGAATTGTAATGAGTGTTTTTTTTTTTTTTGGCTGTAAGACAACCGAGCAAATCAGAACTCTGTAAGTGGGATAAAGGATGGAGACCGCATCATCCTGTACTACAGCTGAAACAGTAACTAAACCACTGAAAAATAGCAACAGAAAAAAGTCTGGATGAGGTCATCACAGCCGTACATGGTGTTTCACGTCAGCTAACAGAAATAACAACTCTTAAATGTTCCCCTGTCTGCCTTATAAAAGATTGTACTACTTCCAGTGATTACTTCTGTGTTGACTAAAAATGATGTTGGCAAATCAAATGTCTTTTGCTGTTGACTGGCAAGAGCAAAAGAAAAACAAGAACCTCATTTGCAAACAGCACATGGTTAGCATCAGCACCACATCACTGTGAACAATGCAGTGAAATAAAATGTTTTCAATTCGGTCTTCGATAAATCTCCTTACCCGTCTCTGTAGTTGATCACAGTATCGATGATGGTGTTCATTTGCTTGGTGAGTCTGGGGGGATTGGGGGATAGCTTCTCAGCTGGTGGGCGTCCACGTCTCTTCTTGGCTTTGGTGCCGTCGTCTCTGCTTGACGAATCCTTGTCCTGCCGTCTCTTGCGTTTTCGCTTCTTCAGCCGGATCTCCTCCTCCATCTCTTCTAGGTTTCCATCCTCTATGGCCTGGAGTCAAAACAGGCAGAGCAAAGACAGAGATAAGTCTACTTAACTCAACGTGTCCACATATGATTTAGAACTGTAGGGTTGTCGTCAACACACAGATAAATGACACTGTATTTTTAGCTCTGAGTTTAAAGTTTGTGTAGATATGCTCCTGAAACTGTCATTCATCATCACTGCATGCTGTAAAATGATTCACAATACATATTTCTTTATAGCTGCAAAACAGAATATGCAACACTAATGGTTTAACATGTTGGTTGGCAAAAAGATGAGACACATCTGTTTAAAAATTTGTGCCAAAAACCATTCAAGTACTCATTTGCATTTTGTAATTTGTAACAATTACACAAGAACACAAAACCTGCTTATTTGAGTTCTGGCCACATGGTCTGGTACAGAACATTTTAACATTCAAATTGATTCCTAACAACAAAAGTAACAGGTAGCCTTGAGGTCCCTACACACTTTTCTTCGGTTAATTAAGAATCCAGATCAACACTTCCAACCTATCAGCACCTCGGTCTCAGTTTCCAGGAGTGTGTGTAACCACATATTTGGTGTGCGTAACTGGAGGCTGTTAGCAACAACCTAAGTTCAGTTACAGTTAAGGCTTGATATGCTGATATTATTACATGCTCCTCGACCACTACTATGAGTAGGTAAATCCATCCCTAACAAGTGGCATGAGGACTGTTATTTTTTTATTTTACCTCCACCAAAGGGCGGGGCTTATGGTTTTGCCGTTGTTAATTGGTTTGTTTGTTAACACCATAACTCAAAAGGTAATAATTTTAATGAAACCTTTTGGAGAGGTAGGGTACAGCCCACGGAACAATCAATAAGATTTTGGTGCTGATCGGTCACGTAATTTGGATAAAGAATTTTTCTAAAAAAAGATTCACCATTTTGACACCCACCAGCTGAGGTTGACTGTATGTGAGCCCCCCCTTGTGGCCAATGCGTGTAGCTGCACTGCTGAGCTCTTAGAGCATATATACAGCTGGACTCTATGCAGCAACAGCTGGGCAAGAGCCTGATGGCACAGATTTTGAGCCAGGCTCAAGGCTGTTAATATTTTCATCTGTAGGACTGGTATTATGCCATTTAGTCTATCCAAGTAATGCCAATTTAGAATTTGTTCCAGTTGCACATTATAGCTGCATTTCCACCGCCAGAACCTAATGAGCAGTACACCCCATGCTTCTTACCTCACAGCATAACCTCATGGGTTGACACGGACCGTCCTACTTTGCTTTTCTACTGTATTATTCTGTGTGAGCTCTGTTTAGAAGACATGCTTACAACTGGACAGAGGGAGAGCACAGGATGTGAAGGATCACTCCACAGTGCAACGATCTCCCTCTCAAACTAATAATGATATCAGCATCATTCCAAATGCCAGCAGTAGGTTTTCATGTTCATGAAATCATGAGGGTCAAACTATCCGGGGAATATTGTTTTTCTGGCATTAGGAGGAAAGGGATATGCCCCTTCGCAGAGTTCACACACTCTCAGTGCTGTCTAGTAAAGGTTTACTTCTTCAATAGGAACCAATGGGTTTAGGGCTGAGAGCCACTGACAGAGTGGGAAAATTAGAAAATACTGAGAGACACAATAACACTGATGATTTTGGTTTTTCCACGGACTGAAAGGAAGAATGACAAAACCGTGATTTATAATTTGGCAGTGTGAGCAGAATGACATGAAATACAAAGGAAAAAGTCTCTGTTTCTGACAAAATTAAACTGCAGGTTAATCACAGTTATAATCAATGTGAGATTACATGTTAAGATTGAATTGTACACCACCTGAATGAGTGAATAAGCATGATGTTCCCACAGGTGCAGAGTAAAGATAAGTTTTATATCTTTAATTAACCAAACTGAGTTCATGCTAATCAAATCTGTCAGCCTATTTAACAAGATTGCTGTAATTAGCTGCAGACGTGCCCAGTGGGGAGGTGGAAAAGAAAAAGTTCTTCAGTTCTACAACGACATTCTATTGAAGTTTGGTCTTCCATTACTATAAATCAATAAATAAATGACATTACAGCCTGCCCTTGGATAAATACATCAGAGGCTGTTAACCAAATTTACAGATTTACATTTATCACCATAGTTGATACCAGGTATACTCAAGACTTTACCCGTAGCCACTGTTTTTCAGTCAGCGTGTCGCTGTAATCCACGTCCCGGCGACAGCGCGACCCTCGACCAAACATCTTCTCTTCCTCCTCTTCATACGTGAGCCGTTCCACCTCAGCGTCATCTTTGATGATCCATGAAGGCAACTCATCCTCCTCCATTAGACGAGGCTTACGCTTCGGGTTCCTGGCGTCCTCCCGGCGTCGGTCCATGTCCATGCGCTGCAGAGGATAACAGGAGGAAAGTCACCATCATGATCAGGTGACATGGTTCCTGGTTCCCCTATGTTACACCACACAAGCTGGATATATACTGGAATCAAGGGAGTAGCAGCAGTCCTGTCATGCACACCTACAATGTCACTTTTGATTGGCACATCAGTATCACATTTCTCCTGTTGATATCACGACTGACAGATCTGTACTAGACATTTCAAACACAGATGGTCACTAACAAGTGTAAAACTGCCAAGTGGTGTACGGTGAATGATGACCACAAGTTCTGTATCTATGACAGCCCAGTCATTTATTATGCAAGAGGAAGCATCTGGCAGGAGACTGCTGGCTGAAGGTGCCCACACAAATGATGGCGTTTAACCAGAATACTGAGATGATCAACAACCTATAATTATTCTGAGGTAGATGTAAAAAAAAAAACCAACTGTAAGCAACACCTCTGGCAAATTTATATTTTGAGACCAGTCATTTCACAAGTTTTACTCTGTCAACTGGATCTCGCAAATGTGTAATTTCCTTACCATGAAAAGCTCAAATTCATCTTCATTGCGAGCTATCATCTGGTTAAGGGTTTCATCATCGGGTACCTCATCTTCCTCCTAAAATTACATTGGAGAAAATCATCAACACATTCCCAGTATAATACAAAAATCTTTCCATACTCAGTTTTAACAGTTTCAGCACAACAGAGGCCTCTCATGCTCAGTTTGAAACAAATCAGTCAAGTATGGCACTAAATATAGCTGTGATTTAATTCTATTAGTGTAGAATGGTGAACTCCCTGGTCATGTCTGGGGAGCCACAGCTGATCCTGCAGTAATTCTATCAAAGCCAACTTGCATAATTTAACTAGAGGAGAAAAAAACTTCTCTTTTAAACCTCCTACATTCATTATAGCAAAATGGCTGATCAGTTTTGAGATGCTTTTCCTTCTAAGAAAAATAAAAAATTTAAAATAAAACAACTTACAAACACAGACCATACCTCATTCTGCTCCTCATGCTCTAAAATGGCCTGCAGAAAGGCACGGCGCTCGTGGCTTGAGGACTTCTGGTCGAACATGCCTGCCTGGATAACCTTCTGGTCCACGTTGAGCTTGTACTTGGCAGCTGCCAAGATCTTCTCCTCCACACTGTTGACGGTGCAGAGACGAAGCACACGCACTTCATTCTGCTGACCGATGCGGTGAGCACGGTCTTGAGCCTGAAGGTCCTGGAATCAGCAAATGAAAGAGAAATGTGAGGCCATTTCAGCTGCATCAATGTCAAAAGGGAAATGTGTGATTTTACCAGTGTGCAATCTCCAAAATTAAGAGCCCGAACCAGAACAACTCTCTGATAACTCAGTAAGAGCCCTGCTCAGTGACAGTTTAGTCTGCATGTTAAACTAACAATAGCTGTGCTGGCTGCCAGTGCTTTGTCTGTCAGTAAATAATATCACAGGAAATGTAAAGCTCTGTGTATGAAACACACTCCTGTTGCTTGGTAGAGCACTGAAACGTCATGCTAAGTTCACATTCCACTGTGCCAATACACATCTTCTGTTAACAGATTCAAGCAGGGTCTGTACCTGAAAGGCCTACTCAGGAGTATTTGCTACTAATCCAAAGAAATGCACAGTAAAACAAACAAAAACCACATTCATGTCATTGTGAATATATCCAGTCACATAATAAAAAGGGAAAATACCTGTGAAAAAAGTTGCTTTGCTTTGCATTGCTTATGTGTGGTCTGACTGTTGTCTTTTATTTGTTGATTCACAGTGATTTGGCACTGCTATCTCTGCCACCATCCTGCAGTACATGATGTGATGGCCATCAGATTGCCAGGTCAGGGGGCCTTAAGCTGCTGCGTTCATCTGGATTCCAGTTGCTAGTGACTTTATAACTTCCTTGCAACCAGGACCGATTGTAAAAATGAGCCAATACATTTCAGTCCAATTTTACTGAGGATATTCACTAAAATTGTCACATAACTGCAATTTTTCAATTTATCAGAGTATTTACAAAGGGTAAAGACCTCAGTGAGTGCAGACACGATTCATCTGATTTGAATAAAGTGCTGCTAATTAATATATGATGCCGTTTTCTGCAACTGAACTTCACTGGAGAAATGATGTTTTTGGAAATGCAAATGTATTCATCCCACGAGAGAAAGAAAAAGTAAATACCCGGATATCATCAACGCAGCTTATTCAAAGCAAGTGTGGGAGATACAGTATTTGAAGAGGAAAATTTAAACTTCTTAGACCAGATTATTTCTGAAAACAGCTTCTTCAGTCATGTCACATGGGACTGGAGCCATTTATAGCCCAGAAAAACAAGCAGGGTGCTCTGGGAAACAGAAATCCACAATCATTGGAAAAATAATAGGTTGTTGCATGGTTGCTGTTCACTGGTGATGAACGGACAGCTCTGGTATTAACTTGTGTTCCTTTCCATCTCACTATTTTGACATAGCCTTTTGTGCCTCTGGACAAAAATGGCATAAAAAGCATATTGAATGACAGCAAACACGTAATTTCCAGCTGTGCCAATTTTCTTCCATTTAACAGCACATAACTTCAAAAATGGACAAACACAACTTTCTACAACTGTGTGTTTACACTATGATTGTAAGTGCTGTCTGTCTGAGGGACAGACCTGGTGGGGATTCCAGTCACTGTCAAAGATAACAACAGTGTCGGCAGCCTGCAGGTTGAGGCCGAGGCCCCCGGCTCTGGTGCTGAGCAGGAAGATGAAATACTGAGATCCTTCCTCATTGAATTTCTTCAGCAGTGCCGCACGGTCCTCAGACTTGGTCGTTCCTGAAAATCAAACATGATTAGAAACGCAGGGTCTGTCGAGTTGAGGCAGAAAAGTCAGCTTGAAGTTCTTGTTCTTCTCGTCCAGAGTTAACCGTTTAAAAATGTCACATATACTGTGGTTCAGCTCTGACCAGCTGAACTGTTTCAGAGGTGTCAGAAAAGGGCATGTAGAGGCTCTAATTAATGAGGTTCACAATGTGATCAAACCATCCAACAGCCAGTTTATATGTCTGATTAAATAATGCTAATTAAGGAGGTTCACAGTCCACAGCCGCATATCTGAGACTAGTCTCTTAATGTAAATGGTTTTTGAAAGTGCTGTGCAATCCTGATGGTCAAGAGTGATTCACTGATTCCTTTCATTAATTTCTTAATATCATGTTGCACATTTTATTCTGCTTCAAAAATGAATCAATGACATCTCCTCGGTGACTAACAGGATTTCTTTTTGTTTGAGTGACTTTCAGCTGAGTGGTGCTGATAAGAATTCTCCGACATCTTAGTCTGACAGATTATCATTATTTTAGTATGACAATTTTGAGTCCATTTAAATAGAATTTTCACATTTTTAATACACCAATTACAAAAACAGATAAAGGGATTAAAAGATTTCATCTCAGATAATGATCGTATCACACAGGCCACACAGACACGACTAGAACTGTAGCTTCAAAATTCCTCATAATTCCTCTGAAATGTTAAGTGATAAAACACTACAAGGACTACTGATTTACCAAAGTAACAAACAAGGTGAAGACAAAGAACAATGAGTGGAATCTTCTCTGCTGAGACACTTTTAAAACACGGCGAAGGGACATTTTTGACACAAAATAAGCATCTTGTAAAAGTTAGTAAAGATGTGATACCATCAAGACGTAAATACTGGAAGTTGCGGTAGCCGAAGTAGTCCTCCATGATTGTCATGAGAGAGGTCATCTGACAGAAAAGCAGGACTCTGTGGCTCGTGGCCTGGAGCTTTGGCAGGATACGGTCTAGGAGCTCAAACTTGCCAGAAGCACGATACAGATCAGGCCTGGGTAGTGAAGAAGCAAAAGATCACAGTTTATCAAAACCACTGAGGCCTCTAGTTTGACCATTCTGCAGTGTGGCTCTATGTTTTTACTCAGGTGGAGAACAATTACCAATTTACAACATTAACTTACTGCTACACTGGGGATGGCAACTGTAATCCTTTATGTTTCTGTACAACTGTTAGTTCAAATAATGAAAAGCAGACCAGCACTTTTCAAGTCATCCTGCTGACTAACACTCCGGGTCCCCTGTCAGACCAAACTGAGACAGCTGTGAAAACATACTGCCAAAAAGTTAAGATTAATGGGTTTTGTCACTCTTTGTTTCTTCTTAATCTTTGTCTTAGTTCTATTTGGGGATAGATTTTTGGGATTACAGTTCCCAAAATGTTTTGGCAGATGTAAACCTGAAGTGTCCATTATCAGTTTTCTGTGGGCTAGCCCTGTTTTCTTCCATGTTTGCAGTGTACCCATTTATGTACATCACAGGATTACTTTGATACTAAAGAAAACTATAAAATGAGGACTATCAGGCAAGTTCTCAGGTTGAAACAAGTGCCTTGTTTTCTTATCTAAAGAGACTTCTGAAAGTTTAATCACGATGGACATTGGAACTATTGATATTCTGGAGAAGTGTGAGTCACACTGAATTTACTGTCTGTGTGTGAAGATTTGACTAAGAGACTCAGAGAAAGAGTAGCTTATAAGTCATGTTGAAGTATATGATATTGACTGTATCATGCATATGACTTGCACATGGACAAACCGTACAACTCATTATTTTTAATTAGTCCTTTTCAGTCTGTTACAACCAGACGTACAAAGGTCCAGATACCCTCCTCTATGTAAACAACCATTAATGCTGCAGTATATCATCAAACTAGAGGCCTGTGATCATCCTAAAGTCCATTCAGGGAAACGCCAACCCTGTAAACAGCTAAACACATTTTAATTACTACAAGCCTCCACCACTTCTAAATAGTTTTTTTTTTAAATGTATTTGCAAAATATCAGTAACCAAAGGGGAATGTTCTTCACAAAAAAACCAAACAGACAGCAATTTTAAGGTTTGTGTGTGTTTGGTTGTTCAGAGTGGCCCACACAACACAGGAGCACGAGCTTTACTCTCACTCACCTACAAAAACATGTAAGGTAAAGGTGGAGCACCATATTGACTGAATCAAAGTAAGGCTCTTGTTTCAATACACCACATGCTGTGCGCTGTGGTGTTGAGAGCTGAGATAGTATTTCTTGTCCTTGTTCATTTTTGCTTGTTTCGGGCATTTTGTAATGCATTGCTGCTGTTTGTGATCCATACATACAGCAGATGAAATACAAGGGGCAATCTGTTTGGAGCAGCTCACACAACAACAGACCAATAAAATAATTCAAATGGTAACAGACTTGCGCTTGTGTAGCACTTTTCTACCATAGCACTCAAAGTGCTTAACCCTACTTGTCCATCCATACATTCACACATACTGGTGGCCAGCAGAGCAGCCACACAAGGCCACTGGGAGCAAGTTATGGCCCAGTGTGTTGCCCAAGGACACTCTGATATGTGGACTGCAGAAACCAGGGATCGAACCGCCAACCCTGATTAGTTTTACAAACAGGTAGAGAATAAAAAGGCCTGAAGGCAACAGGGAAATTTTCCAGATGATTTCTTGGTTACAAAAGAATACAAGTATCTTTGTTTCACTCCTGCCCACAAACATTATCTGGGCCAGGGGCTGTCTTACTGTTTACAGGCTTTCAGAAAGTGTAACGCGCTCCTGCCTGATGTCAACCTTACAATCTGAGGAAGAAGACTCTGATAAAGGAAATATTGTCAATGAAGTCATGTTTTTTTCAAAGCAACAGCAGAAACTATTACAAATATTTGGCAGATATGCATCATTTCTTCCCTCAATTTCACAAAATGTCCTGTGGCGGTTCCCTCCCAGCTGCAAATCACCACTTCTGTGTTTATGTTCAGCCTTATTCTTATACCTTCTTTTAGCTTTTCTCATGTCATTTCTTTTCTCGACTATTCCCCGGTCACTTCATTTTGTTCGTGATGCTTTTTAGCTCTTTATTAACCAATGGTATGTTAATGGGAAAGACAGTGATGAGACCAGAGAGAGAAAAGTTCACTGCTTTATGCCCAAATCTCCCTCTTTATTACAGTAAAGCAAGGACAGAAACAGGATGTGCAAAAGGCCTCTAACACATACGTGTGATTTGAGGTGAACTGTTGTTATGAATAATTGCTCTCTGCCCTCAAGACAGATTACCTAACACAGTCCAAATGACTTCTAAAATTAGGCATTAAATTACCAAACTGTTTCACTGAGCATTACACAAGGTCAAAGAGACACCGACAAAGCTCTGAAGACATTATCTGGGAGGCCATCTGTTTGTGACTGTGCATTTCATTCAGAAACGAAAATCACATTAATAGAGCTGAGATTAAGGCTGGTTTCCTATAAACACCCTCATCTGAAAAGGATCTGGAGAGCAATGTAGAAAGCCCAGTAAAACCAGTATATAAACACTTACTAAATGATATATGCCACACTATAATGTAGTCTTAAGTAGATGCACTGTAAATATTTATTAATGTATTATTAATTACATATTCCTCAACGTTCACAGTATCTGTGTGAACATATACAGAACCTACGTTGGGGCAGCTGTGGCTCAGGAGGTAGAGTGGGTTGTCTTCTAACCAGAAGCATAGCGGTTTGATTCCCAGCTTGTCCAGTCCACCGGTGCATGAATGTGAGTGCGCTTAGAAGTGAATGGCCAAATAGTGTGAAAGTGCTTTGAGTGTGCTGCAATGCATAGAAAAGCACTCTACAAGTATAAGATCATTTATAAGACCATTTGACCCAGCATCAGCCGGGTTTACCAAAGGACCAGCATCAGGATTCTGTCAGTTCCAGCTCCTTTCAGCACATGACGTGAGGAAGTGTAACTGTACAGGCACCAAGGCCTTTTGCCTGACTCACCCACTGATGATGCCGTTTGGATAGCCCAAGTGCTCAGCGAAAGATTCCTAAAACACAGGACATTCACTGGTTTAAATAAAGAACGGTTATCAAATCTTATATTTAAATGTGGCTGTACTGGGAACAGATGTCAGAATCAATTCTCCAGTTTAGGTGGCAGTAAAACACAACAAGATGATGCAACAAAAAGAGCTCCAGTCAAACTTCAGTGGGGGAAACTGTATAAAACACAGATCTGATGTTTTAGTCTGAAATAAATTTTCATCTCTTCAGTGGGAGCATGATTGATGTTCAAGCCACATGCTTCATTTACTGTATGTAACTGTGAGTTTGCGTCTGCACTTTGCCACATTTTGCTTTAAATATTGCACATAAAAACAGGAGCATAGAAATCCGAATTTCAGCAGTGCTCACCTCAATGTGCTGGAACATGTATGGGTGGTTGCAAATCTTCTTCAGCTGCATGATGGTGTTCATCAGGGTCTTCGCTCCTCCTTTGCCCTGAAGAAAATTATTAAATCCATAAAAGAATTAAATTCCAGCTCAAAACAATGATTCTTTTTTGGGGGAGGGCAGTGGAAACAAGTTGGGAACATGACATGTCATCACTTTTTTAAGTTGATTTAGTGAAGGAGTAACAAAATAATGGCTTATTTACACATCCAGCAGATACAAGCAACACCATCATTCACCTGGAGTTATGTTTGTGATCATATGGTGAATCTAAGTCCAATGTTCACTCTCCTTTCTACCGGGAAGATGGTTAAAATTGATGGGAAGATGGATGGAGCCAAATACAGGACCATTCTGGAAGGAAACCTGATGGAGTCTGCAAAAGACCTGAGACTGGGACGGAGATTTGTCTTCCAACAAGACAATGATCCAAAACATAAAGCAAAATCTACATTGGAATGGTTCACAAATAAACATATCCAGGTGTTAGAATGGCCAAGTCAAAGTCCAGACCTGAATCCAATCGAGAATCTGTGGGAAGAACTGAAAACTGCTGTTCACAAACGCTCTCTATCCAACCTCACTGAGCTCGAGCTGTTTTGCAAGGCGGAATGGGCAAAAATTTCAGTCTCTTGATGTGCAAAACTGATAGAGACATACCCCAAGTGACTTACAGCTGTAATCGCAGCAAAAGGTGGCGCTACAAAGTATTAACTTAAGGGGGCTGAATAATTTTGCACGGCCAATTTTTCAGTTTTTTATTTGTTAAAAACGTTTGAAATATCCAATAAATTTCGTTCCACTTCATGATTGTGTCCCACTTGTTGTTGATTCTTCACAAAAAATTACAGTTTTATATCTTTATGTTTGAAGCCTGAAATGTGGCAAAAGGTCACAAAGTTCAAGGGGGCCGAATACTTTCGCAAGGCACTGTATTTAGCTGCTAAATGCTCCACTGTTCACCAGTTGGTCTCCAGTTGTATCTGTCTGCTGTTTGTTGCTGAGGAGGCAGAGGGCAGTTAGTTTTTAGAGCTTCTTCTCTGAAAGCAGCTGTTTCTTGCTGCAGCTGCTTTGACAGGACAGAGTGACCGAAAACCTGAACAAAGAGCTGAAACTCACTATAAAGCTCAGCTGTAGGTATGCCACCATGAGACCCACTTCACACTGTCACACTATCCTCACATTGCTCTAAAATATGAATGACAGTATATTCAGCAGCACAAATTCTATGGCAGCCTAAGTTTCATTACGAAGTCATGTAAATGACGCTGAGTGTTTGATCACTCCTTTGAGCTCCGTGCAGCCTGCATCCCCAGGTGGACATTGTGCCTCACTGAAAACCAAGCTAAAGCTAAAAGCAAAGATGTAGCTTTATTAGGATACAATTTGCAATATGCAGTACTGTGCACAAGCTTTAGGCACTTTAGATGTTTAGATTCTTATTCACCACACAATACCTTCAGAGAGGCATTTTAACAGTCAAATTCATTCTGCAGTATGACAACAAGACCAAACGTCCAGGCAGAATAATAAAGAACCATCTTCAGAGACAATAAGTACAAGGACTCCTGCAACAGATGGCCTGGCCCCCACAGAGCCTTGATCTCATCATTATGGAGTCAGTCTGGGGTCACATGAAGAGACCAAAGACACTGAGACAGCCTAAACCCACTGTGGTACAGTGAGCTCTCCAAGATATATCAAGGAGAACTGGTGTCATTGAAAAGGCAAAGGATGGTCACACCACACTGATCTGATTATCTGATCTAGGTTTTTCTTTCTATTGCAGTAAGAGATGAACTGATAAGTAAGAATAATTAAGCTAACGCGCAGGCCAACTGCAATTACACAAAATGCATTGCTCGTCTGATAAAATGCAGGAGACTATAAATATCGCTGAGCTTTAATTATACTGCTCAGTTTGTCAGGACGACACACACTAATTAAAACAGGGCACACCTACAGTGACACCACAGGGTTCTCGCCATATTTACCTTCTTGTCTTTTTCCGAGCCGTCAGTGAGGAGGATGCCTTTCTGCATGTGGCGGTACAGAACCTTCTGTATGGCTGACATGTCACATTTTATAACATACTCCACCTGTGTGGATGAAAAATATCATTCTTCAGGTAATGAAGCTGTTTGACCTGACACCAGTCTTGATCACAGTCATCTCCTTCTTGACAATGTAAGGTAAACATAACGGTAAACAAGAAATATAATACAGTGTAAAGAACATTATGTAAAAGGTATATTATGTACATTTGCTATATACCTACAAAGAACTTTATCTAAAAGTCATTACTTTCATAAGTTTCATTTTTCTTAAGTGTGTTTAAATTCTGCAACGTTTCCCAATAACAATCCACATTCAGTATGAAAATGAAACTTAATGTAAACTGTCTATAGCTTTCAGCTACCCACTCTACATTATTCATGGTACCGGGTAGATGCCAGTTTAAGAAGCAAACCTTAACTGATTAAACTGTTGCTCGAGGCAGACGTTACTCTTAATTACATATTAAATCTAACAAGAACAGGCACGTCATGTATTCTGTCATCATTTCTGCACAGTGAAAATTACTGGGGGAGATTGATAACGGTTTTATATGCCAATATTTACTTATAATACACCAATTTATTTCAACACAGTTTAGTCAAACAACAGTGCAGGTTTTCTTCAATGCAAACTATACAGCAAATATAACCATGCTACTTCAATTCAAACTTGAAATGTTCTGTCTCACTTTTTCTGGCAGCTGAGACTCCACCTCTTTCTTCAGTCGGCGCAGCAGGAAGGGGCGGAGCACCTTATGCAAACGCCGAATAATCAAGATGGTCTCCTCCTCATTTAGGTCAACCTAAACAAGTCAAAGCGTATGTGATGATACACCATAGACTGTTGTGTGGCAGCATAGTGACTTATCTTTAAAACATCAACAATCTGCGTGGCTACTTGAATACTCCTGTTTCCTTAAGGTTGGATTTTTAATAAATCTGATGTTTTTGGCATCAAAAGGTGCTACGCGTGTTTTGAGCACTGATAGCAATATGAAGAAATACGTTCATGAATAAAAATTTTGTCTGTATTGTGTATGAGGAAGCAGGTCTGTGAGCTGCCGATTGTTTCCTGGAATGCCACTGATCAACAGTTCATGGCGGTAATGTTCAAAGCACAATAACGTGTCTGCACAAAAGACAAAAAAAGACTATTCATTTATTAGCTTTCTTTCTTCTCTGTCATTCTGTGCCAGCACTGAAGCAAATCTGCGAACTCCACTGAACCAGCTGGTTGAAAGTTTGAGGTAAAATATAGCACAAAGAGGCAGAGGCTGAAGCGGCAGTTTTTGCTTGCTTATGTCATGGTTTGAAAAGAAAATCATTTTCTTCTTGTTTACAGCAAATTGGGTCAATGCATTTTCTCAAATATGACATCTGAAGGTGGACCTTCTCTAAGCATAGAGGACAATACTGCTGGCATACTGTTTCACCTCTGACTCAATGTTAAAAACATTAGTCTGCAACTGAGCTTGGCTCTTACAGAACACTTCCTTACAGTATATTATAATAACAACCACTGATAATTCATCAAATTAAATAACCTTACGAGATAAAATCATTGGTTGAATTTTGGAAACCATTCACTACTTTGCATAGCCTTGGATGCTTTGCTCTGATTCCAGTCCTCAAGACACACGACACAAAGAAAACCAAGCGAGCTGAAAAATCAATTAAGAGAATTTGTAAAAACTACCTGATCTAACTAAACTGTCAGTAAAATGTTAGTATTTTACCAAAATGAAAGACAAACATAAAAATCCAGGCCATTTCTCCCAGGACTTACCCTCTCTCCTGTCATGGCGAACGGTGCATTGAACCACTGCTCGAAGGTGCTGCAGCTCTTGAAGATGGTGGGCAGGAGGAAGTTGAGCAGGGCCCACAGCTCCGGCAGCTTGTTCTGTAGTGGTGTACCGGTGAGGAGGAGGCGGCGGGGAGCCACGTAATGGGTGTTCAACACCTGGGTCAGCTTACAGTGGTGGTTCTTCATGCGGTGACCCTCATCCACAATCATGTACTTCCAACGAATCTGCAAAAATGTGCAAAAAGACTGATTGGACCCCTCTTTCTACACTTAAGGACTGTGAAAAGCCCAGCAGGTTCACATTTGCATTTTAAATATTTCTAATTGCAGAGGAGCTCAGGAGTGGCTGCACAGAGGAACATGTTGATTTCCTACTACTATTATTGCATACAAATGTGAAGTTTCTTTTTTCCTCTCATTTTTTATGTTCTTATTGTCAGAACATTACACACATTACAACTGATTCTGACAACGAATGCAGTTAACACAGCATTCTATCATCAAAGGAGCATTACAAACACTAGACCTCTTCTTTGCCTTTGAGCAGCTCAGGAGCTTGTGCATTAATTTAGTAGGATCATCTACTGCAGTGCACGGTTCCCAAAAGTCGATAACTCAATTAGAGCTCATCCAGAGTGCTACTGCTGCAGAGTTTTAACAGGGACAAAGAAAAGAAGTCACCTCACAGGTTTTGAAGTTCATCACTGGTGTTACATTTGTTTTAATGATGTTACTGTCTATAAATCTCTTCACAGACTTGTCCCCGACTATAATGTCACACATGGATGTCAGGTGATGTATGTATGTATAGATCCACAGACTCTGCTCACTGCACTAAAAAAAAAACAAAAAAAAAAAAACAGACCTACAGTATGATGGATCTGACCTAACTAATCTCCAACAACCTATAATAATAAGTTAATCATCAGGAATAATTTATTTCACACTCCTTGTGGCACTTCTGTGGTAAAACCTCAGGCATCAGTCATCTAGCACTGATTAGTAAAGAAGTAATGAAAGCTTTTAAATGAATACATTAGATACATGATACATGAGCAAAATATGTACGCACGTCTGAAAGTGTGTTTTCATGCACTTGTTTTAATACAGAGTTTCAATTTGTACATGAAAACCATGAGTGGAAACACTGGAAATTAAAAAAGTCAGGATATTGCAAAAAGGATTTTATGCTTGGCTGAGGTGGAAATGTTGGTATACAGAAAGAAACAAAGTGATAATGAGCAATGGAAACACAGTGAATAACTCACTAAGCGTATGAAGCATGTGACTTAAACTTCCACCAAAGAGATGGAAAAAAGCAGCCACAAACATCAAATTTGTGTGCAGCGATGAGAAGATGCAACATTCCCCCAGTTAACACATGAAACAATTGTGAATGTCTCATTTCCATCATGTACATTAGAGATTTGTCTGGTCCTCTCTTATTTACATCATCTCATCCTAACCTCTTCTTCTGTGATTTAATGGCACCTGAACAGAAGAACTATCACAGCCAACCAATTATCTTGGTGAACTCACACCTACAGTTGAAGTCAGAAGTTCATATACGCTCAGTTGACTGTGCCTTTAAACAACTTGGCAAATTACAGAAAATGATGTCGTGAATTTAGAAGCTTCTGATAGGCTAACTGACATCATGAGTCAATAGGAGGTGAACCTGTGGATGAATTTTAAGGCCTACCCTCAAACTCAGTACCTCTTTGTTTGACAACATGGGAAAATCAAAACAAATCAGCAAAAACCTCAGGAAAAAAATCGTGGCCCTCGACAGGTCATCCTTGGGAGAAATTTCCAAACACCCAAAGGTACCCCGTTCATCTGTACAAACAATACTAATAGAGTGCAAGTGGCACAGTGTATTGTACAGAGATGTTTGATCTCTTTTACCTTGGCCAGGATGTGCTTGTCCTTGATGATATATTCATAGGTGGTCAGCAAGACATTGAACTTCCCACTGCGGAGCTGAGGCACGAGCCCACGGCGCAAAGCAGGGGTGCCCTTAAATGGGGGTGACACAAACAAAAGACAACTTTGCGTCATACGTCAGCCAAAAGCAATCTGAGCGTCTGTGATGGAAAACAAAAGAGAAAATGAAATTTTTCTTACCTTGTAAGCAATTTTGACCACAGATGGGGCCCACTTGTCAAGTTCATAGACCCAGTTAGACAAAGTCCTGGAAAAAAATTAATTTAGGGAAATTACTGAGACATTTCTAGCTGAGTTTAGCCAAGCCATGAAAAGGAAAGGCAAAAACCTATTTAAAAATTGACGAAATAAATGGATAAAATTCAGAAGAAAAACAAAATCCCATGCAGTGGCGAAGCACAATAGTTTCTGGTTCAAGCAGATTGCATCTTACTATGAGAGATTTTTCTTAAAGAAGGCTTTGCTCAAAAGTGGGACCCCTGGGCAGATCAGTTGCTCTGCTCGTTAACCTGAATTTCCCAACACACAAGTACAAGCGAAAGAGGGCGCATTTAAGACTTTCCTCCACATATGCTCACTGTGCATATCAAAAAAGCACACTGTTGTAACACAGTGGTATTGAGCCTAAACTTCAGCCTCTGCTATGCTCATTTTAACAACCAAAAAGCAGTAATGATGAAAAAAATGGTTCTAGCAGAAAGCAAACCTGGTGTTCATTGTAACCCTTTCACACTTGTAACTGTTAATTATCCCAAAAATATACTAATTATGTGACATGTGCAACTGGGAGCTACACCAGAATTTTCACTACATCTATAAAAGGCAAATATGTGAGTACGAAGGGTGGTTTCATCTGCTGTGCTTAAAGGTCCAAACTACACACTGCACCCTGGTCTACATCAGAACAGGATGCAGTGTGGGGGTGCCAGAGGATTTCAGAGAAGGCGCAGCACGAGATAAACCAGAAAAAATAACTAAACATCAAACTTCAGCTCTGCTATATGTGGGGCAAAATGATTTATAGTATTTCAGGGAGAGAGGAGAGAGTCTGGGCCAAGCAGAAAACAGAGTAAGCACAGTATGACCATGAATATTTAAAGTTTGGATTTCCATGGACTGGTCCTGATGATACTCCACTGCCACACTATGTTATTTGCAAAGTGGTGCCAGCTAATGACAGATTGAGACCATGTACACAAGTTAGGTGATCACGATCAGGGATATTTGTCCAGCTTGTCCCATGTTCCACATTATGACTTCGTAAGATGATGGTTCGCTTTGTCAATAAACAACCAAACATAGTTAAGGAGTCGAGTTTGTTTGGACAATGTGCATAAGACAGACCTCCCTGCTCTCCCTCTCAGCAGCTGATTTGTTATTTTAGATAGTTGCTACAACACAGTGATTTTATTTTATTTTTTATTAAGGCCATTTACGTAGTAAAGCTATTGTCTGTTTTCATTTTGTGCTTAGACAGTGGAGGATTAATTGGTAAATAATTTTACATAAGAGTAACCCCCAGTTTAAGTGTGAATGTAGGAGAACACTGGATTTTAAGAAATCAATGTGTAATAGTCCTTGAGTGAAATTGTGTTGCACATATTCCCATATTTTCATCTGAAAATTAACAACAGAAAATGGAGGCTACTTCTAAGAAAGGGCAGATGGTGAGACAATTTAACTTTTTTTTTTTAATTTACTGTTATTTTGGAACATTTTCTTCAGACTCATGCATGTATCACATTGTGTTTGGGGACTAGACAAGGTAATATTTTGAGTACTGGTGTAACAACAGTTATACAGATTATTGCTTTAAGAGGTATTTGTAGCATTAGAGTTGCTAGGCTAGTTTCTTCAAGTTAACTTTTAGTGTCTTTTAGATTTAGTCAGATGTAAAAGTGTTCAGGAAGTTCAGTTAATGCTGAGGGAGTTTCTGATGCTTTGTGTAACATGTTTTACTGCAACAAAGGAAAAGTTCGTTATAGGTGAAAAACAAGATAAAAAGATCTCTGGATGTCTTTACTGCAGAAATGGATCAGGGACCGAATCATCTGTCAAACAGCCAAGAATTAACGTATGTCACTAATTGTCACAGTGATTTGCTCAAACAAACCGAAAACTAGAGTCTGAAAATGTGACACACAGATAAGCTACATAAACATGGGATTTACCTTATGTTATAGGAAGCGTTTCATGTTTTACTTTCATGAGAGAAAAGCTTCAAAAATGCAAACCGTCTTCTCTTAATGTTTTACTCTAATCGTTTTTCCCAACAGGGCTATTTTATAGCGTTTCCTGTCTTCAGAAGGTGGGGTAGGGTTGTCATTCTATAATCAAGGTCAGCTTAATGTTTATTCAGAACAGTTTATGCAGAATAGTAACTCTGACCCATCACTCCCTGCGGTCAGACGAGTGTGAACACCTGACGCTCAAATTCATTTAAGCAAACAGCTTGCAGTGAGTGATGGGACTCCTGACTCCCCTGTATTTTATTACAGCCCCATCTTGTGTTTTCAACTGATAAGGTTGGTATATTTCAATCTAAAACAATTTCCTCACATAATTTTAAACACTGTAGACAATATTTTAGTGTTAGAACACAATAAGAGCCATGTTGGATGCCAGCTGAGGAATACTGACGAGAGGGGAACGATGATGAGATAGGGGCCATTAAGCCTCTTGTACTCCATCAAGTAGGTGATAAGAGCAATGGTTTGGATGGTTTTGCCAAGACCCATCTCATCAGCCAGGATGCCATTTAGATTGTTGTTGTACAGGGACACCATCCACTCCAACCCTTGGATCTAGAGAACACAGAGAAACAGAGGCATGACTAAAAGTATGTGTGCAGAGGAAGTATCAGTCCTCCACAACTCTTTTATTTCTTCTCCCTCTGTACATAAGATAACCACAACAGAGAGAGGGCAAGTAAAAACATTTTAAAAGACAAACATGTTAAACAGATGTGATAATCTGAATATTAAGAGGGAAAAAACTCAAGTTCTCACAGATAGCTAAAATGCATAATACTTCAAGGCTAACATATGTCATGCTCTTTCTTGTTTTAAGTCATGGCCAAAAATATTGGCACCCTCACATTTCTGTCAGATAACACACCACTTCTTCCAGAAAATAGGTGCAATAACAAATTCTTTGGTATTCTCATGTTTATTTGTTTACTTGTTTGTATGCATTGGAACAACACAAAAAAGCAGAGAAAAAAGGCTAAATCTCATCCATTCCACACAGAACTCCAACAAAGGACTGGGCAGACTTACTGACACCCTCAACTTAATATCTGGTAGCACACCCTTTGGACAAAGTAAATGAAATCAACCGCTTCCTATAACCATCAATGTTTCTTACACCCCTCTAGTAAAATTTTGGACTGTATGAGTCAAAAAAAACTGGAGATTTGAATGTGTTCCCTCTGCCTCTCTGCATGTAATAGCACAAACCTTTCAATTCATTTGAAGAAGTTAATTTGATGTCTTTCATAGTGTGCTTTGCAAAAGTACTTTGAGCACTGTGACATTTTATAACCCAAGCATGGTACCAACTGTATAACTCACCTGTTGGGGAAAACAATCTGCAGTACAGTAGGGAGAAACAGGAAATGGAGGCAGAGCACTTGCAGCAGAAAAGGGGGATGGCCAGCCAATTACCAACTATGTTTGCTAAGTAAACACCTCACTGCAGAACTAATTCCTGAGAAATGGAAACCTGTGGGTAAAGGTAATTAAAAATACCAAACTGGCAGTGGTCCAATATGCATACAGTATGTAGCTTCTATAAATTCTTGTTGACACTTCATGTTTGATACACAGATCACCGTTGGCTCTGCAGACCAATTATTTTACAGCTGAAATCTCTCCAGTTTTCCCTAAGGGGCTGCCACCATATCTCATTTAAAGTCTGTCACACAATAAATGAGAGGTTCGCTAGATGACAACCTGCTTGGATGAAGGAAAAAATGTTAGCAGCACCCAATTACTAAATCGCTATCTCCAGTAATATACTGTCACTGCCATGTCCACTACAGTATAAATGAGCTTGCAGCATCACAGTAAAAGTACAGCGTGGTTACGCTGTCACTGTCTTTAAGCCTGACTGACGGCTGAGCACTCGGCTGTCATACCAGTGATTCCGTTTATCTAAATAACGGCATGTATTTTACAATGCTGCCAACTATTTCATGAATACAAATTTGATTGTTTTCATCCAGTCCGGTTTACAGTCACCCTCTGTCTGTTTGTGAAAATAACTGTCCTGTCAAATGCAGCTGCCATTTGAAAAACCCTCCGAGGTGGTTAATTCAAGGAAAGGTCATCATCCACTTGAGAAAAGGCTCCATAGCACATTTTTGCACTCATGAGTCAAAATTCATTAAGAAATACTGTGTGATTGCTTCTTGTATTAAAATGACTGGTTGACAGAAAAGTAATAAACTAACTGAAAACAGTGGATAAAATAAATAAATCAAAAACATGTGCATGCTAGTGAATGTGTATGGATGCGTGTACCTGGTACTGTTTGAGTGTGCCGTTGATCAGCAGTGACGACTGCTTCTCCACCCTCTCAATGACGGCATGGGCCACACCATAGTAAGACTGGGAGCTGGTCTGTCCAGTAGGAACGCTGTACTCATCGTCCACGTCCTGCTTAGCCGACCTGAATGTGTGTTTGATGAAATAAGAGATATATATTTTTCAAACCCTGTCTAATCAAACTGAACTGTGTGTTTTTAATGATTACTCTCAAGTCTTAGCTATGTCTGGCACCTGGAACTCAGGTGGAAAAGTCTAGACTCAGTACAACAACTCCCAGAGCTTTATTTCATTTCATTTTTTGTCTATAATCTTGATTCAAAAACATATAAAAAAATGTGTTAATTTTTAATGTTCAATATCTTTTTTAAACAATACTCCAACCAAGAACATTAACCATCCATGGCAAAAACTAGACTTTTTTTAAGTTCACTATCTAATGGAATTCCTGCCAAGTAAATCTGAGATAGTGTGATAAGGTGACAGAAGGAATACAATACTCGATGATGTGCTTGGCAGCCTTCACAGTCACTTTGTCTCCACTGGGATCAGTTGTCTTCTTCTCCTCTGTCTCTGCCTTGGCCACTTCCTCTTCCTCCTTATGAGGCAAAGGGGATAATACATGCTTAATACAGAGCGATCACAGAAGTAGCTCTAATGTGGAAAAAACGAAGCCATCAGAATCAGCATTGGTGAAATACATACAGCTACAGCCCCCTGGTGGACTTTGATGTGTGAGCTGGAGTGACTGAGACATTCCCTAAGACCCATTTATTAACATTTGCACAACCTGAAGATCTAAAGGAGAGAGAGGCTCATCTGAAATCCCCCCATGAAAGTTTATTAATGAGAAAGTCACCGACCTCCTCTTCAAACTCTGAGCCGCTCTCCTCGCTGTCTGACCGCGGGGCAACTTCATAGCTGGTTTTCAAAGGTGGAACCGCAAGGAAGAGGAGAACAAGGGGAATACAGAGTACAGTTACAACTGGCTCTATCACACAGAAACATAACATACACCGTTGGCAGAAATTATCCCAGACAGGGAAGGGGCTTTATTAATGTTTTTAATGCGCAATATTGCGCCTCCTCACCCGGGGTTCATTTCAAGCCAAGCCTCCAGCTGACTGGATTTGGGAGCATCCGTTCCCTGCAAAACTTTCCCCGTCTCTGTCTGAATCACTTTGACTGGCAGTTCGCTCATTTGGCTGCTCTCGTCCATGGGCTGCAGGACAAACAGACCAGAAGGAGAAACATTTGCACAAATAGAACAGAACTTGTGTTGTTTAATTTAGACAGCATTAATGGTTTTAGCCTTTAAACAAAATCATGTCAAATATTTAAGGCTATGGCATAATTAGGTAAAAATCAAACTAATCATTCATTCAGACATCATAACCATGAACTATAGTACAGTATCTAGACTGCACTGGTGGCTATACTGACAATCTGTTGCTGGCTGCATGTGATAAAAGGCATACAGACAGAAACTAATTTTAAATAGCAGCCAGGAAACACAAAAGAGAAAAGCCATACTTACAGAATAGCCAACATGCTTATTCTGCGAGTACTCAAAGGAACAAAACAAGTGCTACTGGGCAATTCAGACGCACCTGAGCTTTGTCCTTGATTCACTGATTCATCTATTTAAATGGTGCGGAAACACAGAAATAATAAATCCCTGTTCCACGCTCATCATCACCCCATTCATTAGAATCCAACATATGGGACTTTCAAAGCCCCTTGTAAAGATAAACAAATGTAGGGACATTAATCAGTGTTTCTTCCAAATTGGCCATCAAGGCCTTTGCATATTTCAGAGCAGACAAGGGAGGACAATGCAATTAAAAGCTGTGGGAAGATGTGAATAAGAACTAGCTTTGCAGATTTCTAATTGGTTTTGTTGAGTTATTTACAAGATGCTCAGTTGGCTTCGGTTCTACCATTATCCAGGGTGCAGTCTGGCTCTGAAAGGATAATTACTGTTCATTTGTCATTTCTGCCAGGGCACTTTTTGAGAAGCGAGGTCAAATGCAGTTTTGGTTCAACAGCAGCAGCGGAAACAAGGTGCCGCATTAACATATCATCACCTTTGTTGATAAGGTGAACCTAACAAGAAGTGAGTCATTTGAGCAACATTATCATTCATTTTGAGTAGTGTTTGAGTCACTTGGTGAATATTCACACTCTTTGATCTGTTTTTGATATACACAAACTCCACAACTGAGGGATTCAGCTGCCACATGCTCCACTGTGTCCACCAACTAGTCACAAACTGTGCCTGCCTGCAGCTCAGAAGGTAGTGCATAGTGGGCTTTTAAAACGTTTTTGCTGAAAAAGGTCAAGTTGTGAGCTGAAACTCATTGTAAAGCTCCATAAAGCCGAGCGGTGATAATTCTGTACAGGTTCATGACAAACCCTGTCTCATTGTTTTCACATTATCATAAGAAAATATTGATTATAGTTACCACCATGACAACAGAATGTCAACAAAAAGGAAAAAGCATTACAGCTCACCTCTCCATCGGGTCCAATGGCACTGGTGCCTTCACCATCTCCGTCCACCTTCTAGACATCAAACACATAAACCACTTCAGCTGGCATAGCATTACAAATGAGGTTATTCTATATCATGACAGGGTATGTACAAATCTCCAAGCGGGTCCAGTGAATGGCTGAGAGTTTGTGGGCGTTTGCCCCAGTTATAAAGATGACACAGCCTGAGTTCAGCCTATCTCAGAGAAGGTGTGAAATTATGTGTGTACTCTCAGCCCACCAGGTCACTGAGGATCCTGGACGGTAACCCCACTGTCCTTACGAAAGATACTCCAAGGAAAATTTTAACTGATTGGATTGTCTTTATGTAAAGATATAAACCCAGCACCATCACAGGAATATGAGCACCAACCACACTGTAATATGTTGGCCTGAACTTTGACAAAGGTCTTTAGTGACTTTCTGCTTTGTTCAAGCCACACTAAAAACTAAACTTTATTAGTCTTAAAGATTTTTGTCTTCTGCAAGAAAAAACAACAACTTTGAAGGCCATATATAATCAAGAAACATCACAAACTGTTGAAAACATAATGAATGCAATATAAATAATAGTGAAGCAATATAAAGTAAAAACCTTGGAGGAAAAAAGAAGCTTTTCAGAAACCAGCTGAATGCAGATCTGACAACCAGCAGTGTATTATCACCATTTGTCATCCTACCTTCTTTCTCTTCCGCCTCCTCTTCTTCTCCTTAGCAGCTTGGGCAGCTTTGTGTTCGTACACCAGGGTGGTGAGGTTTGCCACATACTCATCCGTCTGCTGCAGCAAGTAGGCCAGACGCTTGTCTTTCTTTTGGTCAATCAGTTTTCGATAGCCTTCCTCATCTTCTGCCTGAATGACAGATGGTGACAGAAGGTTAATGGTGCATGAAGACAAGAGATTCTTGGGGATAACAATTCCCAAAATATTATCTACAGCTTGTTAAGCCATTCAAAGTTAGTCAGCCCTTAACATGTTTAGTGCAGCTCTGGTGCTAATGTATTAATCAAATGCAAAAAAAAAAATAAATAAATAAAAAAAATCAGTGTTGGTGCAAATACCAACCTTATTAAAGGGATCATTTATCAGCCAGTCATACTTTGTCACTTTAAATACTGTGCCACAGTCACTGTCATGACTGACTACTCACAATTACCACAGAGCTCCAGAGCTCCTCGGATCATAAACTTTGGCTGTGACAAAACCAGAAGTTACAGCCTAATGTGATTTTACACATGAAGGAATAATCCCATTCTATTCTAAACAGTAATAAAATGTTACAGTATACATACACATACATGCAGCACATCACATTCATGTTGTACTTTGTGTTCTAGACAGGGTGGGTCTTCCAGCTTTTAGCATTCAGTGTACAGCTTTTATAGAACTGTCATTTCAAAAAGAAGTGATGCGCTTTGGTGTGATTTGCTGGTCCTCACCATAAGTCTTCTCATCCTCTCTTTCTCGATTCTCTCAGTCTCCTTCTTCTGTTCCCGCTCTGTGTTGGTGTGCCAGTTGGCAATAGCTCTGGTGAGCTTCTGGACTTTACCGGACACGGAGCGGTGATACTCTTTGAAGTCCTTAGCATGCTGAAGAATGCTATTGAGATATTCCTGAAAAATGTCATAAAGCTAGTTGAAGGACAGATACTATCTGAACAACGTGGCACACTAGAAGACATCATTAAGCAATACAAGACTCCACTTTCTTTGTCAGTTTGCTATAGATTTATGATGGATTCATTTCAATGTGCAGGGACTGACTGATGCTGCTGTCTTATTGTCTGACAAGAGTGAAATGTATTTTGGATGTGGATGTCTGCTGCTGACTGTTTTGTTTCCTCGTCTTAATCTTAACTGTCAGCTGCAGTTTCTAAGGCTTCCATGGCAATTTTCACAAGTCGAACAACTCGTGGTGGGAAGCAGTGTTACTGCTGTAGCCATTCAGTACTGAAACTACACTAACTTTGTTCCTACGTCTTGAACCACACCTCTGTGGTATCATTATAAACACTCTAGTGCAGATCACCTGATGTTTCTGTCTGCGTTTCTTTTCCTGCTCCAGCTTCTGCTGCTTTTCCAGCTTCTCAGTCATGCGTGCCTCCCTCAGCGTCTGCCGCTTGCTGCGCCTGTAAGCCTTTGAGTTGAGGGCCGTCTCCAGGGTCGTGTCTCGCCTCATGCATGCCACCACGTCCTGCCTCAGCTGGAGATATGCACAGGTTACACATCAAATCTAGGCCTAAATCAATACTGCTGAGATATTGAAAGTTATCTTATTTTAAAACATGCCCTCAACCCCTTCTTTAAATGTTTCCTGTGTCTTCACTCTTCACAACCTTAAATGCCTAGACATCAATTGAAAGTACATTTTATAATCTCATTATTATGAAGGAAAAAAAATCTATTTAACATCACTCTTGTAACCTAGTCTTAAAATAGTCTATAAACAAATGTCTCTGGGCAGAAAACTAACACCTACTGTGTGGACACAAAGACCTTGAGCCAAGGGTAAATGGAATGCATTTACGTGTGCTTATAGCAGTGCAAATACAGTATCAACAATAAAAACAGTTGAGTCTCTTCCCCTCAAACATGGGTCATTGCAGGTAGTTTATTTATTGGTACAGTGTCCCACTGAACATTAAAACACGGCAGCTTTTGTTCACCTGCCGCTGGAAGTTAAGCAGCCGCAGGGCCTTGAGCTCCACTGTGGCTTTGGTCCTCAGGTCAGGAGGGAGGGAGCCTGGCAGACTTTCCAGTTCCTGGATACGATGTGCAATCCGAGCCTGCAATCTGAATGATGACATGAAGTCAATGTGCAGCAAGTGTAGTGAGCTAGACACACCATAGAAGTTAATGCCATGCAAGTGGTATTTTGCATTGGTACTGTAAATGATGTAGTTAATTCAAAAATACAGTAGAATAACAACATTAAATAATGAGTCTCAAAATGAAAAATGCCCACTTTGATCAATGGCTGTTTTTAAAGGTGCTATATAAATGAACTGCTATAGCTTTTGCTGAATGATTTAATGTCATAAGTTATAATGACAGGAGCTGTTTATGGATTAAATGTGCAGTACTTTCTGATGAGATGGATGATAAATACCTGTACTCTCTCTCCTGCAGGATCCCCACTGGGTCCAGGCCCTGGGGCTTCTGGACTGGCGTGATGCGGTTCTGCTTCTGCTGCATCTGCAACATGGGGGATACCTGCTGTCCAGGGGGCTGGGGGGTCACTGAGCTGCCTGGCATAGGCCCAGCTGGCACAGCAGCGGCCTGAGGTGGTGCAGGGGATGGGCGTCCACTCCCAGCAGGGGTGAGGTGCTTCTGAGCATTGGCTTGATTTTCACCGCCTTGACCTGGAGAACAAAGGAAGAAGGAAACTGTACTTGGGTCTGAATGACAAATAAAGCAGGTGCTCCTGATGCACAGGCGTCCATTTCCTTCCACAACAACAATGGGAATACCCTCCATCCATCCATCCATTTTCTTCCGCTTATCCGGGACCGAGGTGTTCCCAGGCCAGCCGAGAGACATAGTCCCTCCAGCATGTCCTGGGTCTTCCCCGGGGCCTCCTCCTGGTGGGACATGCCTGGAACACCTCCCTAGGAAGGCGCCCAGGAGGCATCCGAAACAGATGCCCGAGCCACCTCAGCTGGCTCCTCTCGATGTGGAGGAGCAGCGGTTCTACTCTGAGCTCCTCCCGGGTGACCGAGCTCCTCACCCTATACCCCCAAAAATAATGGCACACCACTTTGTCTAAGCACAAAAGTTAAAAACCCTTCCACCAGGTCAGCCTTCCTCTGAATCCTGAGGAAGACCTGTGTGCTGTCAATACAAACAAAGCAGTGTGCCATCACTTCTGGAGAGAATCTTCCCCTTTCTTGAGGAATATGCACAACTGTATTAAATACACATGGATTTAAAGTAAAGGTAATTAATGCCCACCCTAACTGGCACAAAAATAGTCTGTAACATTTTTAGCCTGGAAACAACACGTTCTGCTCGTACGTCCATAGGCATGTCAGACATTTTGGTCAACTATCTTGGGGCGTGAGCACTCTGATTTCCTACATGGCAGATGCCACAAGGTGTATACATTTTGGGCTACGTATAACATATTGCAGGACATTTTACCATACTGTCCAGCTTTATCATTCCAACATGTGTAAGCTATAAAACAGGAATTTTGTATGAACTCTAACAAATAATTAAAAATACGTGATCCACTTGCAAGGTAAAATGTTTACCAAGTAATCGCTACCTGTGATTGATGCAGCCGGTTTGCCACTTGTGGGGTGGCATTCTTAAAGAGCTACCGATGATAGGGATGGTTCATGGATGAATAAATTCCCTCATCTCTGGCATAATATCTAATGTTTATAAAAATATTTTTTAATACAAAAGCTTGCTTCAAAAGCTTGGAAATTAAAGAATAAAGTTTTACTGCCACCCAGAGAAAAAAAGAACTGGAAAGAGAAGCTTTCAGCTGGATGGAGCTGTCCAGATGACCAGCAACATATGCAAATTGAGTTTCAGGACAGAAAAAATGTGGTCTTTGAAAGCTAGTGCTGTTGCACTGTAGGCCAACCTGGGATTGCAACACTTTGCATTATATCCTGTGCAGCTTCAAAGAATTTGCTTAATGGTTCTTTCACAGAGAATCGGATGTAAGACATCACATCAAACAGTCAGGTGTAACCTGGAGTGGGTCATCATGCGTGGGATATAAAGGTGCAACATAACTCAGAGCTAATGCAGCTCAACCGGTCTACCATATTATGCAATCGTATACACTTGTACGGTACTTACCATCAGACCAAGGCTTGGGTACGCTGCTTTGATTGTGTCCTTGCATTGATGGGGTCGGGCAAGGGCTTGACTGGGGTCCACCCATAGATGCCATTGGCATACCTTTCAACAGAGTAAGTTTTTTTTATTATACCTCTGTCTAGCTATATGGAGCACTTCTGCATTTTCAGTTTGTAAGAGATTATTCCTCAGCCTGTTTTGTGATCCCAGCCCATAACGTGAATCTGGGATGGGATGGTAGCTAGAGCTGGAAATGCTTTTATTTTCTTGTTTACTTGCTGTTTGTTTTTTGTAATTAAGAGAAATTATACATATGAACAGTTTCCAGTTTCTAAATTTGCTGCTTTTCTCTATTATTCACCAAAAAATGTGGTTTTTCCCACGAAAAACATTTCTGTCACCAGAAATAATTATTTGGATAATTATTATAATTATTTGGATTTGAGAGGTTTCCGGCCACGGTTACGTGTCCATTCACTGCAGCCGGCACATTACTGGTGCTGGGTTACGTCAGCTGTCAGGTGTGGATGCTTTCAGGCCAGATCTTGGCCACGCCGAGATATAAAACCTCCATGTTTGGCAGTGGCCTGGCCCAGATTTCATGGAGAGCACAGAGCACTCATATTAAAGTACCTAATGCATTCAGAACGGTTCCATTAAATCACAAACTCACACAAAAAATACAATACTAAGTCACATTTGTCTTTAAACCTTGATCTTAAGAGACCTTGCAGTGTAATAAGCAAATCCCGTACAATATGGATTCACTTGCTCATAAACAGAAACCCAAAGTATCAAAATAGCCTGTTTGTATTACTGTAAAACTGTATCTTCTTACCAGGAGGCCTGTTGTAAGGACTAGCACCAGGTGCCTGCTGCTGCTGCTGCTGCTGTTGCTGTTGCTGCTGTTGCTGCTGCTGTTGTTGCATTGTAGGTAGGCTCCTCTTGCCCTGAACAGCTAGTTGAAGGTTTTCAGGCAGTGGTTGCCCACGGCCCAGGATCTTATAGGCCAGGATCTGAGCTCTGAGCTGCTGCAGTTGGACCGGACTGAAAGCCGAAGGGCCCCGCCCCATGTTGGGCATGCCCACTTGAGGATCCATGGGCATCATGGGGCCTGACTGTGAGGGAGGCATGTGGGGTGGTGTGGGTCCCCCACCACCACCTCCTGACATGGGGCTAGAAGCATGCTCATGGACACCCATGGGTGATGGATGGGGGGACATGTATCCTACAGCAGACAGGAAGGTCATTTAATAATTTTACAAAGACAAAATTCCCATTAGTCTTTTTAAAGCAGTAGTTCCCAACCTTGGGGTCAGGGGCCACCAAAAGGTTCATAAAATAATAATCTATGTGGTCACATGATTATTAACAAGACAGAACTGCAAAAAATACATAGTTAGTTGTATGCCACCATTACAAAACTGGGTTATTTGTTTCAGACCTCTCTCTCTCGCTAATATTTGCTTATTTTCAATTGATGACAGGATTATTCTACTTCTTCAAACCTATGAGAAGTATGTAAATAAAATAGTTTAAGAAGGAATAATCATGATTTGGTCGATCAGGTTATACTCTGTAGACATATGCAACATGTGACTGGCTTAATACTGACAAGCCAAAAGGTTTGGAACCACTACCAAAGTATTAATGACGTTTCTGATGCTACTGAGCAAAAAAAATTGTCTTAGTACAAATGTATTTTAAACAGTGACACTTAATCTTGCTTGCTTGGAGAGCTTATTGCTTTTAATTTCAGCACTAAAATACCTTGGCTGTGCTGGTCCATGGGACTCTGTGGAGGCCCCATACCACTGTGCAGAGATCTCATCCCCACACCTTTCATGTGACCAAAGTGCATCACATCTGCCATGGTCTTGTCATTCATCCCCTCCATAGGCTGCAAATAGGAAATAAAAATAAATAAATCAGAACTAAGATTGCTCCTATTTTTATATCCAACACTTTGTGGGGGACTGTAATGAAAATAGTATGCCATTCAACAAACCGACTCATAAATTGTCCATACCACTGAGATTCAAAATACTGCTCTTACCTCTTGCACAAAGCAAATCCATGTCTCTTTCTATTCATATTAGGTCATAACTCTATCAAAAGGTGATCAGTGTGCTAAAGAGGTAGACTAACAACTGGTTATGTAGCTATATTTCATAGGGGCTGCATGTCAACACACCCTAGCTAAAGGCACAGCTAAATATCTCAAAAGAAGATGATAAAACTGCCAGTTCTAGATTGAACACATTCTCTGACTGTGGGGAAAGTAAACTTTTGTCTAGTCTGATGTCTTAGTTATTAATGTCTTTTATATATCAAGACATCTGCAATGTGACAATATACAACTGAAAATATATTTCAAAATGAAAAAAACCTGTCCTCACATAAACTGCGTTATGCAGTGTTTCTAAATAACCTTAAATGTATTTTGGTATTTGTATACTGCAATTTATTGCTAAACATGCAACATGAGCACCTAGACCAATCTGTAACAAGCCAGTATTGACAGATACAGTATCTGTCTGACCCATGTATTAGTCAAATAATCAGATATCCCATTAAAATACTGAACAATAACACCTAAGCCTTTTGGAGATGTCACAGTGACACTTTATTAAAACACTTGTGTAGCACTGACACCAACAGGCACTGAACAGTCCACTGTACCTTGTGCATAGGATACATGCTGTCCTGAGAGTAATCGCTTTGCCCCTGGCCCTGCATGCCATGAGGTGCATTAGGTGTTCCAGGTCCAGGACTGGGTCCCATCATACTGTGAACAGAACCTGGTGAGGGGTCCGGTCCAGGGCTGGGGCCCAAGATGGGCCCTGGGGATAGACCTGCCCCCGGAGATGGGCCAGGATGGGACATACCACCTGATGCGTCTGAAGGGGTGGACATCTACTGAACTGCTGGAAGGATACCAGACAGCTGCAGGAAAAAGGAAGGACATAATATTAATGCCATGCAAACAATTCAAGTCTAATACCAACATAAAATCGTATGTATTTTAGTTTTTTAGAGGTTAAAAATGTCTGCTATTTTCTTTTTAGAACAGCAAATGTAATGCATTAAAGATTTTAAATAATTCTTATTATTTAAAAATTTAAAATTACCAGTGGGTTAAATCATCTTCTCTGTGGCAGTGTCAATAAAAACATAACAATGATTCCCTTTATTTCTTAAACTTTATTTAACAGCATATCAGTGTGTTTTTCTAGCATTTTAAGACAAAATAAATCAGGATGCATCCCAGGGGTTCTGGCATGTGCCATATATTGTAACTGGCCTTTGCTGCATACAAATCTCCTCAAAGAATACTTAAATCATAGGAAAATCTTCATAAAAGCAGTGTGCATTGTAAGATCTGACATTTATTTAAATTTATCTTGCTGTAAAAAATAAATAAACCAACTTTCAAGCCTTATCAGAAAAGCCCTAAGTAACAAAAGTGACATGCACTCACAACATAACTTTGCTGTACTGAGCAAAGGTTTTAAGCACTTCGGACATCATAAAAGCAGTGTGCATTGTAAGATCTGACATTTATTTAAATTTATCTTGCTGTAAAAAATAAATAAACCAACTTTCAAGCCTTATCAGAAAAGCCCTAAGTAACAAAAGTGACATGCACTCACAACATAACTTTGCTGTACTGAGCAAAGATTTTAAGCACTTCGGACATTTAGATTCTTATCCATCACATAATACCATCAGAGCAGCGTCTGTTCAGTCCCAAATTAATTCTGCAACATGACAATGAGTCCAAACATACATTCAGAGCCATAAAGAACTATGTTCAAAGACAAGAAGAACAGGGAGCCTTGCAACAGATGGTCTGGCCCCCACAGAGCCCTGATCTCAACATCATGGAGTCAGTCTGGCATCACAAGAAGAGTCAGAGGACACTAACAACTGAAATCCACACAAGAACTGTGGCAGGTTCTCCAAGGTGCAAGTGTACCAAGGAGAGCTGGTGCATCCTTGTACTTTTAGTGCCTGAAACATTTGCAGTATTGCACATTGCAGACACAGAGCTGCTGTGTGTGGCCTACAAAACCTAATGTTAACACATACAGTACCCAACTTCTGTGGTTATCATTGCCATTCTAGCACAAATCGGACTGACCATCTTTATGTGTTAAACTAGAAGCTGTTAATCTGTTACTTTCCGCTGTCAGACCTCAGAGATATAGCTGCACCTAAACGTGTAACATGACTGTGTCTAATCTCGGATCTTCTAGAGTAACGTTAAGGTTATCAGTACATTACTATCACCGCTGTCACCACATTTCTGGCAAAAGTAACGTTTGAAAGAAAAAGGCGTTGAAACAGACGTCCAAATAAACCTATTAACAATCAGATGCTTAATAATACACAATAACATTAGAGCCGATATAGCTAGGCTAGCGTTAGCGTTACATCGTTGCTCTGTGACAGTTAGCTTGGTAACTATCACTCTGTAGAAGTAACTCTGATTGGATCATGGCTTCCACAAACCTGGTGGCCATCACGGATAAGCAGACAAAATCAAAGTTTACACGAAAGTCAAGCTCCTGGCATGATCTTAGGAGCAGTTTCAGAAACAAAATGAAACTTTAATATTCAATTTAGAAGCACATAGTTTCGAAGGACAAATATATGGGATGTTTTTAGGCTATTTGTTTCGCTCGACCGTTGAAGAAGTTGGCTAACAGCTAGCTGCCGATAGCAATTAGCTTGCTAGCTAGTTAGTCCGGTTACAGGCTCTTCAGCTAACAATCTATGTTCATGTCAGAAAGTTTGGACAGTTAGCACTACGCTGAGTCGCTCCTTGTAAGTGTTTATTAAATACGAAGCACCTTACCTTTCGGCTGAACTGAAATAACACACAATTAGGTGGAAAATATTAATGTTTCTTCAGAATATGACTGCTGTCCATAAGTTCACTCCCACTCTGTATTGTTTTGCTGACATATTGAATTTTTTTCTTGTTGCGCTATTACTGATTTGTCAATGTCACAGGAAATCCCGCCCACTTCACAAACTGATTAGCTGGATTACACGTCAATCATTTTATCTGTTCTTTGGGTGTGTATGTATCTTGTAATCATTGCTGTAACTTTGTGTGGCCCAGAGTGCAAGCAAGTCGATTATACTCTTATAAAAGTTTACTACAAACTTGGCGACTTTGTTTGGGACTTCAACCAAGACATCTCTTACAAACTGAAACACATGTTTAATACTCTGATATGCAGCACTAAAAAAATATGTTTTATGCGCTAGAACTAAACCCTCCTTCCTGCTTTTTTCTCGTTGCCTTAACTATTGAGCTTAACATTTACCTATTTGTTAGTTACATATATACAGCACTGGTGGAATAAACAAAGTAGTATTTTGAGAGCTGGACAAAATAACGTTAGAGCTACATGGGGAGCTATTTAGATGGAAATGCAGAGGCTAAAATACTGTAAAGCATCTGCAGTAAATGTGGTCATCTGTGCAGCCCTTGAAATGAACACAAGATGGCAGCAGCCACCAGCAGGAGCCTCTGCTGCTCCTGGCCTGCAGGGGCGCTGGTCATGAATTACCACAGATCACATCTAAACACTGAACTAACATGTCAAGTCCAGAATGATTTATGCTAACCCACATTTACATACACTAACTTAGTAAGTGCAATATTGTGGAGTTTCCATGCAAATAATACACACGGTTAGTCAAGCTACATTTGCATCCTTATGATATAAGAAACTTTATTTTGTTTTCATTATGAAAAGGTGTGTTTACTGGACACTTGTTTGTTTAAACTCAACAGAGCAAATATGTTTTTTCTACATTGTATAATTCATAATTTGTCTACAATTACATCAAGAGTATCTTATCCAAATAAAGTAAAATGAATAATATAACTAGGATATATCCTGTTGGAAATATGTCAGTATTCATAATGTTTCTCGTGGATCATTTCCACACCTGCGGGTCAGATTTTCAAAATCACACAAGGATATAAATTATTTTAATGCCCTGTTGGCCTTCTCTAATACACTTAAACACCACTCGATGCTGTGGAACAAGTACTGCCAGAGCTTTAGTGAAGAGAAGAAATGTGAATATGCTGGAGAAAATAGTGTTTGTCCACAGACATTTCACAAATAAAATGAGGCCTGCATTGACAAAATTAATGCCTTTTTGGGCATATGTTCAGCTTTATCCCATTGAATTTCAGAAATAAAGCAATAAATATCAAAAATTGATAGTGTTTAAAACCCAACAAATACATTTCTGAGTGATGACACTCTGATGACCTTGTAAGACATTCAAAGCACTCCATAGTGACAGCCCATCATTTGAATACCTGACAGATCAATAAACAAAGCAATAAACAAAGCCACACATTTAAACTCTAATTCGAGCTTCCCCCCCTCAACAATTCTGTCTTTTCTTATGTGCCTCCATAAAGGATGTGCACAGGGTTCCTGAATGTAAATTTTACACAAATAAACAAACCTAATTAACTTTGCAGGTAAAACCGCCGCCCCCTTTAGATTCACTGAGCCAGGAAAGGGCTCGGCCACAGTCATTTGGCAGTGAAAAGACTAGTGGTTGTGGCTTCCATTCACCTTGAACCCCCCTGTAAAAGGCTCCGGTGAATCATAGGCGTGACATTTTATTCAAAGTCTAAGGGTTTTTAAATGGATGAGCTGAACAATGAAATACTTATTCAGAGATGCAAAGAAGGTCCCTTGAAATCTTCATCCTTCTCCTATAATACATGATTTTTCTTCCTCCAGTTGTATGTTGAACAGCAAAGTGGAAACATTTTAACCCTCAGAATGTATCTTCATGTCGAGGACACCACTATATGCGGCAAGAAATAATACTGAAACTAAACTCTTAAGTTTTTATCTTTTACATTTTGTTTTTACCTCACTTTTAAACTCCAATTCATCTCAGTAGAGCAGTACTATAATTAGCCAAATTACAAATTGGTTTAACAACAGAATATAACTCAGTAGCTTCACTTTCCATTAGTTTGCTTTAGCTGAGGCTGGTTTTTATTACTGGTCCATACTGGAGTAAAAATACTTGGGTCTTAAAATAAACTTCTCACATATATCTTTAATAATACTTATGATTGCTTTAATTACAGTTTGTGTGTGTGAGGGCTGCTCTTTGCGGCTGATGCTTCCTGCTATTACATCTTGTACAGTATATACTATTAAGTAAATTATTCTCAGGTCACTCACAAAAAGATCTTGACCTCAATAAAATTTTATACAGGTACACTGACCAGTTTAAAAGAGTTCAGAGTGTAACAAAGACGTAATTCTGTTCATTTATAGAGCAGTCATTTAGATAATTTGCTGGTTACTGCATTATTGGCAGAAATAACCTGCTTTTCAACATTTCAAAACACTATGAAATGCTGACATTGAGTTTTTTGGGCCGTGTGAACACAACACTTTGGGCAGCTTTTAATCAAGAACTGATGTTCTTTTTGATACTTTATGCAATGAATGACAAATTATTTTACTGATTAATTTCTGCAAAGTAAAAACAAAATACTTAATTACAATCATCACATTTAATTGTTATTTTATTTGTATATTTGACAGGAACAGTGCTGAAAAAGATCTTTTAATGATTTTTACTTGTTGGCCCTGGCCAGACATAAAAAAAAAAAAAATCCCCAAAATAAAACAAATGACTTAGCTTACATCTATGTACACAAAATACTAAATAAGCACAAATTAGTACAGTACATTTCTACCAATAAAAATGATTACACATAGCAGGTAGTTACATTCCATACAATAAATACTGCAAGGACAGGAATAGCACTGATCACGACAACAAACAAGTGAATATGAATATACTGAATGTACAATATAAATGTATATTGTACATACTCGTACTCCATAAAGTTATAAATGATGCACTGAGTAACATTTAGTCAATAGTCTGTTTTGTTCCCCATAAACGTCTTTCTGTCTTTTAAGTGAAGACCTTAAAAAACAAACAAACAAAGCAGCTGATTTAAATAAACCACCAACTTTGAAACACAAAAAAACAAGACTATGAATAAACATGATGAAAAAGATTCACTGACAAATCTTTGTATAATAAGGGATAAGGATAATCACCTTTATTTGGCCAAGCATGTTACACACAAGGAAGCGAGGAAGCCATCTATGGCGTCAACTCAACTGATGGCTCTAACCATCAGGGGCAACGAGGGGGGTTCAGTGTAGATAGATAGATGTGTAGATAAATAGATAGATAGAAAACATTATTAATATCCAATGGGGAAACCTGTTTGGTCACCATTTGCACAATAAACAACACCACCAACAACAGACAAACAAACTAGGATGAGGAAAAAACCGCACCCAACAATAAGTAAACAAATCCCAGGACAAAGTGGAGTTCTACTCCGGAACTGGTCGAGTTAATCTTCATTTATTAAATGATATTTGTATTCAGTCATATTTAAGAGCTTCCCATCAGATAAATGGACTTGCCTTTGCACTGACAGTAGTTTTACTGTATAAACACCAGGCAGACACACACACACACACACACAAACACTGTACTTATGCACATGCACTGTGGTGTTATCTACAGGTGTGTGCAAACAAAGGGTGTGTTATAATTAGTTTTACATGAGCCGCATTTGGCAGCGAGTTGTTTGCTTTTTTCTCTGTGTTATCTGAGAGTCCCATTTGAATAACCAATGCTTACTTTGTGGTGCACTTATTTTATTTCTGAGTCAGATAATAGAGTGTGTTTAAACAGAGAAGAGAGGCGGCATCAGAATAAGAAAGGTTTAGGCACGAATGTTACAGACTACATTAGGTTTGTCGCTGCTGCTTCTATTAGAATTTTTACTAGGACTTCTAGTTTTCAGTGCAGACAAATTATTATTGATATTAGTGGCACAAATGAATTTGTCTTCTTCTTATAATAAAAATAAATGGAATTCAGTCTTTATTGATTTTATTTATTTATTTAGTTTTTATGCCTGTAACTTTCTGGTCTTTTCCAGGCTTTCATTTTAAAAAAAACCCTATTTGTCAACAGAGCAAAATCGCATGTCACCATTCACCAAAGTTGACCTTGACAGGTTGCACTGATTCACTTTGTCTTCCTTCCTTTTTACTTCTCAATGATCTTCACTATTATCACTGTAAAAGAGGTGGTTTCATCACTTTTTATAGCAGTGATCATAACGATAGCACCTTTAAAAAATAAGATAGTAGTTTCTTCCTATTGTTCCATGACATTCTGAAGCTATTGATGTTTTAGGTGTGTCTGTTAGTCCTCTCCAAAATTACAAGAGCAATTCACATTCACACAAGCTGCCCAGGTTTGTTTCCCCCAGTTGTTGTGTTGTCTCAGCAAATGACTTGCTGAACAGCATTCTGTCCAGCTGGCTGCCTGCTCTCAGCTTTACTTTACCCCCTGGCCCTCGAACCAGTTTTATTTCTCTCTTCAAGTGCTTCTCATGAAAGAAAAACCTTTATGGGCAGGTGCGTTGTGTTCCCCTCTATCACTCCACTCTCAGTTTCTGCCTGCTGGTGCTCAATTTGTGAGAGCCGCTTCGAGCGCTGCCGGGAGCCCAGCATCTCGTCTGGAGGAATGGCATTGAGATCTTTTTCCAAGATGGTGCTGGGGTCATGACGGAGGCTGAGAAGAGAGGAAATGCTGTCACAGGAATCCTCTTTGTAGTTGCCTGTGCTGCAGGTGTTCTGCCATTCATTGTTATAGCACAGTGTTTAGTGTTACAACCTGCCTGACATCTGGCGGCCTGGCTGGACCGAAGCAGCAGCAGCATAATGATTAGGGACAACGCTGCCTGCTAATGCATTACACATCAGCACAAATGTTTATTATTAGCGGATGATGTGGAAGCATTCTGCACAGCCAGTTCACTAATGTCACAGAACATTTGTAATTTGTTGTAAATAAATGCCAACTTGGTTTTGTGCTATCA